TTATTGAGATGGCACGTGCCAGAAACATCGCAACACGGTGATAGAATACAATTCAATAATCTGTATTTTGTTTAGCTTCGTTATGTATTCCATACTATACATCAAAATGCTATGTTACATAAAAATATGTAAACTTTATCGAAATTATTTGTATTACACATTTTCTGACGTAATATTTAATAATTATAATAATAATATTATAATATTTAATAATTCAATAATTAATAAGCCTATACCTCATAATCACCTGATAAGAATCACTCGATTAAATAAAAATAAGGTTGTTATAGTGTAACCTCATCCGTTTTCGATTGCGTTTACAAACATCTAAGGTCTCTATTGGGTGTACTAAACAGGACCCGATCACTAAGTGAAGCCTTACCTGATCAGTTTCTTATCGGGGCCTTATTAATATTTTTACTCGGGTTCCGAGTGGAAATATTAATAAGGCCCCGATAAGGAACTGATCAGGCAAGACCTCACTTAGTAATCGGATCCTGACGAGTACACCCAATCGGGACCCGAGTAAAAATATTAATAAGGTTTCGATAAGGAACTGATCAGGCAAGAGTGATCGGGTCCTGATGATTACACCCGATCGGGACAATACAGGCGCGTGCTACGCGCGCGCATTTATTATAGTAATTTAATAATTATGAAATGTAAATATTTTAATACAATTTTTTTTATTTTAAATAACCGTCAAAATAACCTTCGCTCTCAAAGTATCAAACTGTCAGAATAATCGCGATAACCAATCAGCGTCGCGGAAAAGCGTCAACATACTTTCAATACATTCGAGTATCGATCTTTCATGCCTTTTTTAAGAGTGGATAATGTAGAATAATTAGTAGAATGATTTATATTTCAAGTAATTCTGTTCTGAGATAGCTATATCAAAAAATAAATAAAAATAAAAATATTGTAATATGTACGCAAAATTTTTTGACATTTCGAGAGCGGATTGCAAAGTTTCAATGAGGATTGCGACGATCGGAATCACCGGCCGGATGATCATGCTGGTCTGTAAAGCTATTTATCATCTACTGCAATCAAAACGATCTAGAGATATGGAACTTATCCACTATCGAATATGATAATAAAGTTACTATGAGTGGATACTTCTGCTTTTAAATGTTTCTTCGGCAAAGATATATCTTCGTTATTAACAAAAATATATAATAATAACGCAACTGGAATCTTTTACAATCTTGATTGCATCAAACGTGAGTGCTTGATCATGCGATTACAAAGCAATCAGCGTACGAATCTAATTGTTCTTTTGCAAAATTATAGAAAATTGGCATGTAAGGAAGATATTCAGGTTTCGTAAGTGGCACAATCATAAATTTTTATCGTCTATTCTTAACACGATTATGAATATTATCTTGTCTTACATTTTCTAGAAGAATTTTTTTAAACGCTGCTTAAATAGCTATAATCATGCCACTTAAGAACTTTCTAGACTCATGTAGCACATTATAAACTTTTTTGATTACAAATGCTTAAGCTTTATTCAATACAAATGTTTAAAAGACTAGGAACAGAGCATACGGTATTTCGTATATTTATACATAATACATTATACGATGACATAGCACGTGACAAACTTGGCGTATGTGTCATACGAGTACCGTCTGCGTTTCCATTACAGAATTTTTGTCTGAGACATTGTATTGTAGGCTTATTAATTTTATGATATTGCGTGCAATTTTTGAATTGTACTGTAATCTATTTTCTTTTACAACAATGTATCTAAATCTTGACTTGTACTGTCGTTTTGTTTCTCCTTTGTCAATATCGATCAAAAGATAAATTCTGAGATTATTAAATGTTTTGATTTTTTATAGTAAAGTTTTTTACATTATCATATTTCCAGTTATTTACGATATCATATTTTCAGCTTACGATATGATTAAACGAAATATACAAATGTTCTTATAATTTTGCATTTTTTTTCTCGTGTGTCTTGAGATCCTGCGCTGTCAAATGTGATATATTCAATCTGTTCAATATTTGAAGATTATTCCAGTATTAGTAACTAGAGTTAATCTCACCGAGAAAAATTACAAATGGTAATAACGCTCTTGGAGTACATCGTTCACTTACTCATGATTAGATATAAAAGTTATTAGTTTAAACTACATCTCTATTTTGTTATATTGATTGTATTCATCATTTTTTTGTAATTCAGGTGTATTGTCATACACACCTTTTGATTCAGTTGTTATAATTTAATGTTATAATTTTGATGCCGATTTTATAATAAAATGGCTGTTAAAGCGCATGACAAATATTTTTTGCAGAATATATGCTGAAATGTTATGTAATATTATCACTGATGATTTGAGAAAGCAGCAACTCAATCTTTTACTTTTATAGAAACGTTTACTTTGTCATATTTTAATAACCTATCAATAAAAATTATAAATAAAATAATTGTTGTAATAAAATATAAATAAATAAGTAAATATTTTCTAAGCAGCTTGAGAAGGAAAAATCCGTTTTTACGTAAAATTTTAAGTTGCTGTTTCTTTGCAACTGTGCTATTGTTATATTTAATAGATCTTCAGTTGCGTTATAGTAACATTCAAGCCATATTTCTATCTTTTGTATCAAAATATCTACAAATTAGTCTTTTAATAACGCGTGATTCGCGTATGATGAAACAGTACCAAATTCCATACGTAGATATAAATAGTGAATATGGTGTTAGAGATATTACGTTTTGCTACATTATGATAATGTTACTTCTTAAGGATAACTTAGAGCGAGATAGTCGATAACGGATATTGTCTCGATATAAAGCGAGTATTTTGTTCACAGCGAAATAAACATCTATTGACAGTGTCTATTACAATAATCTATGTTGTACTCACTTATGTTTGCAGAATGGCTTTAACGGAAAGTGATTTTTTCTCTTTTAATTGTAGGATACAATATATGGAAGATTCTTGAAGTAATTAGGAACTGTATCATTTTTATAAGCCGCGTATATCATGTTTATACGCTTATTTAACTCTAATGTCTAAGCGAGTTGTCGATTAAATACTGCTCACTCGCGATTTATGCATTATACAAGGCGTTTCTGATCAAACTACACTTTTGGCTAATCATATGCACGATACATTACTCGGAATCGCTCTAAATGTATGAATTTTTATCACAAAAATTATCCTTCAAAAATTGAGAAAATGGTCGCACACTATTTACGTTTCGTTAATAATGCTTTTGTAATATCCTTAAATTTTTAGGCGCTTTAGAATGAGTTTGATAATTGTTGCTCATGAGGACGGTTTACGTTACACCGTCGCCATTACGTTAAGTTATTTCTAACGTTTTCATAAGACATTTGATTAGTATATTTAAGATTACACTAAAAATTGGTAAGTTTATCTTATTTCATTAGACACACTAATGCGTAATAAAAATTTAAACCCATACAGCACAGAACATTGCAATTACATTGCAGCAATGTTACAATCTTGCAAGTTGCAATGTAATATTGTTGAGACATTATTGCAACCTGTAATTGTAATATTTCATGAGAATGTGACAGCAACATTCCAATAACATTGCAATAGCAATATTCGGTAATCGCTAGTTCGTTTACCGCTATGCGACGCGCGTTGCAAAATCTATCTCGTATTTAAGTTTTAGTTATGATGATTATATGAAACTTGCAAAGAGTGGCTAGTAAAATTAAAGACATAGTAATTATTTTTATCAGTTTAATTTTTCTGATACGACCTCAACACTGGGAATTCAGATATTGAACTGATTGTTCAAAAATCGGACAGATAAATGTCCGAATAAATAAAAATATATGCAACATTATTCTAAGATTGCAATAACAATGCATTATTGCAAATTCATTACATTGCAATATTACTGTAATATTTTGTTACAATCTTCCTAAAAGCGGACATTTTAACGTTGCTGTAATCCCACAGCAATGATGCAACAACATTTTGCAGCAAATTTGCAATATTGCAACATTGCGATGAAAGATTGATGCAATGTGTATGCAATCTTTGTGTGCTGTATGGGAACAACACAAAAACATCTTAAGTACCTGAGTAATTTGTAGATGTCATTTAGATTAGATAGTGTTAGATTTTGGTGTTATTTCAGAAACTACTATTTACTAAAATAAAAAAAAAAATTAATTTACTAATATATAAATATAAGAATAGACCGTCTGCTTCTTGTCAAGCTTCTTTTCGTTAGTGATTTACGCGCATCTTTCTAGAATGAGCTTGCCAGATTCTTCGTATTCCTGACGTGACAGCCACATTTGCTGAAACGAGCCTAAGGAACTGAGGATCGAGCCGCCAATCCAGGCACCATAACGACGCTCACTTGAGCTATTCGCACTAATTATTTTCAGTCTCATACTCTGCAAACAAGTTTACAATACAAGTGTAGTTTTAAAGTTGGGTGAATAAAAAAAATTGTAACAAAATTTAGAAAAACCGTGTTGGTGTTGGTAAAATGTTGTAGTGTTTGACACTTGTCATAAATTTTTTAAGAAAAATTTTGTTATTGAGCTGCAGAATGTAGAAAATACGTATTGAGCTTAGAAGTAAAAAAATAAAAAAATTGTAAAAAACGGCCTAAAACACGTAAAAGTACAAACTTCAAGTTTTAAAATGCATTTTTAATTTTTTGTTTGCAATAATTTTTTATCGAATTTTAGTGGTTAAAAAATTACTCAATTTTGTACGTCTGCTCTAAGTGTTCTCTATTTTTTTGTGGAGTAGTGTATAATTAATGTAAGTTGCAAAATGAGTTTACCGGTGGAGTCTTGCTGGCCAGATCTCGATTTAATCTGTCGCTGAATCCTTGAAGACAGGAATTACCACCGGTCACTACTACACTGCCGTATAAACTCTGCAACGTGGACATTTTGTTTATAAAACTTTGGATCTTTTTATCAAAAATAATTAATAAATACATTACAAAATTAATTTTAAACACTTGCAATTTATTATAATATTCTTAATTTATTACAATAAAACTTAATCAAACTTAATATAAATTTGCATAATTAGAATACATACTGGTCTGATGTCCATATCGCACATTCCAACACTCGTGGTGACCAAAGGACCGATCCCTAAAATACTCGCGCCAACGCCCTTAACATTGCTAGGATCAAAAAGAGCTTCCGGTATTATGAGTCTTATGGATCCATAATCGTCATTGTAACCAGTCGGGAATTCATAATGTTTCATAGGCAAAGTATTTGCTATGTCTTCGTCATAAGGACTATCTGACACTTGCAGGCAATTCATTTGAAAATCTTGCAGTAGTTCTCGAACCATATAGCTCAGCCAGGAAGATGTTGGTGTCGATCCAGGTCGTTTCGTCCAGCGAGGTGGATCTCTCTCACGTACCACATCTAAGAAAAAAAAATATAAATGTGTTAATCAAAATGTGTAAAAATATGTGCTAATTTAATTTAAATTTAAATTTTAATTAATAATTAATTATAATGTTACGTCTTGCGATCACTTCACGATTTCCTTTTCTCAACACTTGAACGATCGAGAAGAAAAGAAACCATTTCTTTCACTAACTAATTGTTACTATCATGGGATTAAAAGATTCGGAGCAATTTTCTTTGTTTATATTTCAATTAAAAGTTAATATTTTATAACTTTTTTTTTTAATCCAAACACAAATTATTTTATGTTCTTCCAGAGATTGCGTGTACAGTCTTTTTTTTAGATAATAAGAATTAATTAGAAAGTTTTTTCTTGCTTAAGAAAAGATTAATAAATAGGCTTGTCAAAACCGATCTAATTTTGATTGTTAATAAAAATAATTGTTTTTAAATTTCACAGTCCGTTTGATTTGTTGATCAGGCCCTATGTTTATCAATTTACGAAAGATTTCTGCAGCCCTTCAAATTGTATTGTTTTGTTTTTATTCATTAAAATATTGAATAAATCTAAATGTTATAAAGTGATTTTTTTACATTTTTTACATACTTTTACATTTTTTACATTCTTTTATTGTTAACGAGGCTATTTACCTTTACTAGCGACGAGACAAGCCGGTACTAATTCGACATCCTTCTCCTCGAAAAACTGTCTACATTGCATGGTGATGAAGTCGCCACCTAAAGGACTCTTAACGATTCCTTGAGTGATAACGTAACCGTCATGAACCGGAACTGCGCTTGTATGTGTAGCACCGCTGTCTACAACCATCGCCGTGGATCTGCCGTTAGCGTACGCGGCCAGTACGGCGTTCTTACAAATATACATGGCTGGTACGTTGAATTTTTCGAACATTAGCTCCAGCAATTTTTCACGTTTCAGTCTCGTATTCCACGGGCACTCGGTCATCAAGATTGGGTGGTGTTCGGACAGAGCGTGCAATCGTTGTTTATAGGTGTATTCGGTTAGTCGCTCGAACATGTCCCAATCTTCGATCATGCCGTCTTTCATCAGGCTTACTATCTCCATATCTAAATCAAAATGATACATTTTGACATTATTCAAAAAGTTATAATAAGATTATCCACAATATTGTGATTTTAGTGATTAATTATAAATTGTTCAAGACCATCTTTATTATACGAAAACTATACAGTTCTAATATTAAATAATTGATAATTAACGCAAAAATTGAACTTTCCATAAAAAAATATTTTATATAAAAATTATTTTTAGAGAGAAATTTGTTTATTACATATATTTCGTAATAATAAGCTTGTATAAAGAGAGATATTAATATTGTAGAATTAAAAAATATAGGAAATATGTATTTGCATTAGTCTCGTTGTGTTATCTCCAAACTATTCAACAAGACACACGACAAACAAGGATTTATTTATGTAAGACATAAAATATTAGACAAGTGTATATGCTCACTTTTAATTGTCCGGATATTATTATTTAATTTAAACTTATTAGAAAAGAACAATAATAAAGACCCTTACGAGTGCCAAAAGCCGCGAAAATTGTTTTCGAGCTATCGATGACGATTCGATGACGATTCGATGACGATTCGACATCGAGCTATCGATAGGTCATACGAATATTAAATGTAACCGTTTGCCTTTTATCCGACACATATATTAAATTTATTATTATACTGATCATTACTTATTATTATTAATTTGTTCTAAAACATCAATAAGTATAAATTTGACTTACAATATTAAAATAAAACACAAAAGTGAAATCAAATATAAACTAATATGTATTGTCCCAAACCTCAATCATGCCGTCTTTTGTTAGATTTTATTTCTCATTTTGACATATTACTCGCACATTATTTTATTAATACTCTAATATTATCTTTTAATTAAGTAATTCTTTCATAAATTCGGAAATGGGAAAACACGTGATAGCATACCCTTCTTTCGCACTTGGATAGCTGTGACGTCGATATTGTAGTGCTTCCTGGTGACATTGTTGCAATCAACGCCGGCGGGATCGGCGGGTTCCTCCCACACTCCAAGGGTAGTCGGGATCTCGGCCTTCGGCGTGTCCTCGCCGCCATATCCCACGCGGAGGCTCTGGTGTCCGACGTCGAAGATGATAGCACCTACCTCGTCTGGCGTAACAATCGGGAGTGACCACGCGGGATTATCACATGTATAAATACGTTTCTAACCGGGATAATTATGGAGCGCGGCCGTACTTACCACCGCCGTAGACACCACCGCTCATAGTACCTGAAGGGAGAGGAAGTCTGGCGCATGCCCGGATGGAACTCTTCTACTCTTGCACTCTTCAATACATACTCATACACACACACACGCGCATGTCGAATAAAGAGGGCTGCGCGGCTGCTTGTCCTCTTAGGACTAATCGATCGACAGTTAGAACGAACATATTAAAATATCTTAAATTTGATATTAAGAATCAAATTGATAAATACGAAGTATTAAAAAATGCAACAGTAAGTAACGACTTTGTTACAGTACACTTTATAGAAAATTTGTGTCATAATTTAGTCTAAATAATAAATTTATAAATATGACAAAAGTTTCAAATTTTCTTTTTTTTTTTGTTTTCTTTTTCTGTCTCTTACTTTTTTTTCTTTAATCCACTTTTTTATGTGATTCTAAAGCGCCTTTATCTCCAGTTTTGTTTAGTGTATTTTTCCTTTTTCTGTGCAGTTTTTGTTTTTAAAATTAGTTTCAAAGTTCTCTATTCCGCAATATACCTTTCACGTTCATTGTTTTTTTCTCACAATCAGCACTTTTTTCCGCTTTGTTTTTACATTTTAATTACATTTTAGCTATTTTAGTTTGCTGACTGTTATTTTTATTCTTTTTTAGATATTTGAATCTTTCTTAAGCTTTTTTTAACTTTTTAATATATTTAGATTCTTTTATATAAATATAGTTTATTATCAGCGCTTGTTTAACTTTTTTTTTCATTTTTTTTATTAGCTGCCTTTTTCTTTTTAATCGATTCATCTATTTTTTCTTCAATCCTTTCGGTAAGTTTAATCTTTAGTTCCTATCTTTTCTTTCTATTAAAACTAAATAACACAATCTTTATTTTCTCTATTAATTAATTTATTTTGTGTAGAATAGATCAAGTTTGTAATTAAAAAGGAAAAAATGTTAAGTAAAGGAGGGACAGGTGAAAAAATACACAAGCTCGAAACGAGTATTTCCAATATGGAATCAGTGTTGTATATTTTACAAAGTAAATTGAATATAAACAATCTAAAGTCTTCTAAAACACAATAGTACGAATTTTGCGATAAATTATTTCGTGTTTTGTAAAGATAGACGATATATCATCAACAGGGCGACTTCTCTCGCTTTCCTTCATTTCGCGCGAATAGCTCGAGAGCCGAAATAACACCGGGGCGTGGGACACGGGGACTTAATGGCTGAATGAAAAATCCTCGTCACCTGGCCGAGCGTGAACGATAACCCAACCAACCAACGAGTGTCGCGCCGATAATATACGCTAAACTGATTCGATGGCAACACATAGTATCACGGAGGCTGCGTGTTCGCAGCGGCGACAACACTTCGGACAGTACTCTTCTCGCATCCCTCAATAATTTTTCACATCATCGTTATTATCGAGGTCCGTCGGTCGTTATTCGACGCAAGGTTCTGATATCGTGTCGTTACGTTTTTTTTTTTCTCTTCTTCATCTTCTTTGTTTCTTCTTTCATCTGACGGGAGGGCGGCTGGGTCTCGAATGTATGTGAGGTGCGCGGTTTGAGCGAGGTACAGCGGGTACAGTGTACAGTAGTAATAGACAGACTTACAGACATTATGTTCAGTTGTTACGTTTACGCTACGTGGTAATTCGTCTACTAAGATTTACGCTTGGCATTTACCGCAAGATATTCCTGTTTAATAATTTCTTTTCATTTAATATTGCAACTCCTCGGCTTTTGCGCAAGGCGCCGCGTTACATAAGAATCGCGCGATAAATGGCAGATGTGAATCTACTACAATGCTTTTCAGTCTCGTAGGTAGGTGAAATGACAAACGACGACAACGACAAACGATCTGACTCTATTTCATTATTTTCTTTTCGCTTAAACACCTCTTCGAGAAAGTGGGAGATCGACCGTGCGTTGAACAGGGTTTCGATTTGCATGATAAATGAATGCTCGTTCGGATTAAATGACCAGGAATGACTGGAAGACAAACGCTCGGAAGTCGCGTATTGCTCGCTTCGATATGCATATATAAGTGTATCGTCAGACCGCGTAAGTCTGGAGAACGATTTGCAGATATCTTGGTCGATTGTAAATTTTTTTGCAGTCGTTGGTCGCTTCGTATAGAATAAGATGGCAGTTTATGATTAGAATTTTACAGTTTAATTACAGTCGTCGCGCATTTGCGTCATACTTTCGCTATTGTAACAGTTAAAGGACTGCAAATTTTGTGTGTATGTGTGTGTGTATGTATGCGCGCGTACGCGTGTATGTGTGTGTACGTGTATTTACTTTGCATGGCAAATACTCGCGTGGAGATCGTTGCCGGAGGGAAAAAATCCGAGGTGGATACAGATCTCGCGTAGCGCCGCCATTTTTAATTAACTAGAATTATTACACGGAGTGGAACAAACGTGACAGTTATCGAATCGTTGAAACGCTAGGCGGACTCGCGATGTCCGTGCGGCGTTCCTGCCACGACCTATGTAGAACAAACAACAATGTAGCTCAACCCGCTCCGTTCAATATGCATTCAAACGATGCGACATAAAACTCCAATCTTGCGCTACGGCGCAATCGTTGCGCCAAGCGCAACCAAACGGCAGCATATATATAGACTCTCTGTCTCTGGTTAAAACTTAACTTCGTTATAATTAATCTGCCACAGTGTGTTCGCGATTGTTCACTTAATCGTATTACGTTCTCTTTCTCTCTCTAAATACTTGAATCGTTCTCAGAAATAACTTCAGCGTTAAATCGATCTCGCTGGGAAATTGGAAGAGCCGATGATGGCAGTTCACGAACCACGTCGTCTGGTAAAGACATCTCAAAAATTAGCAATATGTTTTCAATGTAGGCCAGGAGTAGGACAAAGGAGCACGTCGAATTATTATTTTATTAGCTGGCGATCGAACGCGAGACGCCAATTCGAATTAACGAAACGACGGACCGCGGCTTATTATATAGATTTTTTGCAGGATTTTCTCTTACTTTATTTTTCTCTTTTCTTCTCACCGTTTTTTTTTTTTTTTTTTACTTTACGACGGGATCCTCGCGTGCACATCGGAGGCTTTTGTATGTATTTACACCGCAATTACAAAGTCACGGACGTTTCGTTGGCTGCTGTGACCGCGATCAAAGTCGCACTCGGCCTCGCTTAACTCAAACGCGTCGGAGAAACCCGAGGGTGGGTCCAGCTTGGGGACGAACAGGTTTCCTGATCCGTCACGTTCCTGGTCCCGATTGGCATAGGCATTGCCCGACTGGTGCTTGGGATGGCCAGGCCCGGCGATTGGCCCGAAGTTGGCACGGGCCTCCTCGCTGGTATGACGCGCCAGCTGTAACATCCTAAAGTATGCAAGTATGCTTGTTTACTCCGTTATTTTGCGCGTGGAAAAAGTTTGATTTGTTATTCAAATAAAAGGCTTACTTGGGTCGTCCCCTTCCAGGAAACGATTTTCTCTCAAAAATCGGTGAGGGTTCTGTAGACGTGCTAGATTCTGGTCCATGGTACAGGAAGTCTATAAGCAAACGATTCCCTCTTGTTTTATCAGATTTTTATTCATTGCTCTCTACTTTCAATTTACTAAATATAAATCATTAACCATAATGCTTTTGCAATCTTGTGTTCAATTCTCAATAACACAGTGGCGTGTATATAATAATCGCTTTGAATGATAAGATTGCAACCGAGAAAGTTAATCGCATATCTCGTGCGGAAAACAAACGTTAATAAGAGTGCACGCGTTTCCGTGGCTCTCTCTCTCATTTTCATGCCCGCGATATTAACGGAACCAAAAGCCCAGAGCTAGAAGCAGAAGAAAGCAGGCGGAGATGCACCGAAGAACAGAAACAGGACGTAGTTGGGATTGTTGTATTCGAAAATAAAATCCGCAAGGTCTCTAGCGAGGATGCGTTGGAAAAAAAATGTACAGCCTTCGCTAAATGAGTCCAGAAGCTGCATTTTTGCTATCCTATTGCTACACCTCTGAAGGGTAGATTGACAGAGAGACAGAGAAAGAGAGAAAGAAAGACGTGAAAATAATGCATACTGTGAACGCGCGAGTCGGCCGCAGATGCCGAGTGGTGCGAATCGACGAGGTGATTGGAAGACTCGGTTCGGCTGCTGGTCCCGACTTCCGTGTCGCTGTCCGAGCCCAGGGTGTCGTACTCCTCCGACTCGGACTTGCCCTGACTGACCTTGTGCGCTTTGTGCAACGGCGCAGAGGACGAACGGCCTCCGCGTGCCTTAGTGTATCGGTTGCAATCCGACTGCAATCAGACGGAATTGGTTTCCATAAGATGGCACACGTCGCGCGCACCCGCCACATCTCGATCCTTCGACGGTCTCCCGACCGGATCGCACGAGAAGCGACTTTAGACCAGAGCCATCGTCGAGAATCGTGACTTCGTGAGTCTCAGTTTGACCCAGTTAATAATTTATCTCGTCGAGATTGCCACTTGTGCTCGAATAGTGAGGTGATATTGCGAATATCTCAAGAATGGAAGTATTACGACTCACTAACACGTCAAGCTTTAATAATTTTCGACAATTTAGAATTGAGAATTAAGATAAATCCTTAAAAGGATAAGGAAATCCTTAAAAATATAAATTTTGATTTTCTGAAATCCATGTAGTTTTAATTAGATTTTATTGGAAAAATTAAATATGCGATTAATTTGATAAAAGCAAGTATCTTTTCTAATTTTAATATTTATTTCTAAACAAAAATTTATTTTTTATAGAATTGTCGACATATTGTTAATTATTAAATTTAAATCAGCTCTTTTTATCAAAGTATATTCTATTCTCTATGAATAGAAAAATATAAGAAAAACACTCTATATTATTTGCTGTTGTTTTAAGTGTAATTTTGAATTAAATTTTTAATGATTATATATTTTATTCTGTTCTCAATTTAATTATGATAATGGAATAAAAGATGACAGACTCCATCCCTACAGAAATTCTATTCTACTTCGGCGGACTAGGAGCCACGAGAGCGATGCGATGAATCATGAGAGAGTCTTATGTGATACAGCTAACAGAGCTACAGCGAAACTCGGCAAGAGATATAAATGCGTAGCGAACAGCATTCTAGTCTGCTCTAGTCTTCAAAACAACTTCTCGATTTGCGAATTGATTTAGGACAGCTGCGAAACGAAACGAGATGGGACCAGCAGTCGCAACGATGTGACTTGTAATGATATTAATTTCTAATCCACATCGTGACGTCGTTGTTGAAAAAAAAAAGAATCAGAAAAATCCACGCTTTTTTCAAATTAATGAAGAAAATTTAGGAAGCACGCGTTCCGCTTGCAAATTAAAATTCGCAGTTACGTCACACGTCGCATTGATCGCCCGCGAGACGCACGAGAAACTCACACCGAGCATGCGAATGCGAGTGACCTAAATACTGACACAGTGGATCACTAAGGGCTCCGACTGCGTCGTGAGGGTAAAGTGATTTCGGTGCACTAATCGGAGTGTGCATGCAATTATTGTGGGTGTAACGAAGTCGGGAAAATATGAGAGTGAGTGATATAAAAGCGGTCATAGGCTCATGCCCATATTTCTCTCCGCACGTTTAACGTTAAACGCGGTTGTATTTTCGGATCAGAAAATTAATTAAAGTTTGCTTGTTGCATAAAAAATTCAATTATATAATTAATATTATAATATAAAGTGGAAAGAGTTTAAATACGGAAAAAAATTTTGTTATTATAGCGAAATTGTTGCTGTTAATACAAATTTTGTATGGAATAATAAAAATTAATTTGTTATAAATTAATATGTCGATATAATTTTACAAAATTATTTCCAAAAAGTAAAATTAATATTCGTAACAAATTTCTTTGTTGTCCACGTAATAACTAACATGTTTTATTATGACAGCGACAAAGTTACTGGCCAGTAAATTCTTTTTATGAAGAAGTATATGTATGTCATAAAACACAATTAAAACGTGTAATTAAGAAAATTTACAAGTAATTATGAATCTCATTAAATTAAATCTCAATATTTCACACTAAAGATGTGTTTTGCGTGAAAAACTCTCGTTCTTCCTGTTACAAAAAAGAAAGTAAGAGATAGATACCAAGAAATAAAAATTAGGAATGCAAATCTTAATTGGGGCGAAAAACGTGCGGTGAGAATGCGAGTATGCGGCGGCAAATCTAACGACGATAGATCGGAGGACGATACCTCTCGTAACTGAAGGGTATCGGCAGTGGAGAGACGAGGGTCGTGATAGACGAAGGTCTGGAGAGGCGCTGCAGAATTGCAGCGACTGTCGCCTCCTGCAGGAACGCTTTCCTCCAGCTGGAACGTGGCGTACGGGTAGATATCTTCCGAATATTCTACAAGCATGTTTAATGGCGATACGTTAATAAAGACTTCGGATCGCAATCGTTTGCCCCTCGCGCGATCTTGAATTTTTCGTAGAGGCTGATTTTTCGTCTTTCGATTTCTATCGGTTTTACGACAAGAAAGGACTCGATTGTCGATTTCAACCGGTATAAATTGATCTTACCTGGTATTTTCTCTAATGTGGCCATCTCGTGTATCGGCGAACGGAGCGGCTTACGTACTGTGGCGTAATACTGCTCGCGCTGCTCCATGTTCTGCTTATTGTCTAAGGCGGCCGCGGTTTGAGCATCATGTAGACTTCCGATATCACTCATAAAAGGACCTGTGAAAACAATTAATATCTTCAGTATCAGTGAAACAGTAATCAGTTTTTATTTAAATTAACAGTCGACGTTCTGAGAAATAAATTTTCATCAGTCTGACACTGATTCTAATACAAATTTATGTAAATTATTTTTATAAATAAATTTTTATTTTTTTTAAACAAATTCTTTTGTGTTTTTTTGTGTCTTTAGTCTTTGATCGTATGTGTTGGGCTTACGTTTGCGGAAGCAATAGAAGACAGCACCGGCCGCGGCAATAATCGCGAACGAACTTAGCACCAGAGGCACGATGAGCTTCAGATCCGAGTATACGGACGTGTGTTGAGGTATGTATTGATCGATATCGATGGCGGACAGGGTTGTGCTAATATGTGGCTGCAACGTCGTTATTCTGTATTCAGCCACCGACGAGCCGGCGTTATTGTGGGCCCTTATGCGAATATCATATGTCGTTCCCGGTTGCAACTCGCTCAGAGTATACGTCTTTTGTACCTGAATCATGCGCATAAATCGCGTATAAAGTGTTAAATCGTCTTACAGTAATATTAATTAAAATTATATTACAAAATATTATCTAAGATATTTCGTGAAAAAATGTAGAAGCAAATTTCCACTTTGTACCTCGATATTATTCGAGACCAATGTCCAAATGCCTTCGCCGCTCTTCCTGTATTCCAGCTCGAAGAACGTTATAGGACACCCTCCGTCGTTCCACATGCTAAGATGCAGGGTAATCCAGGAGACATTGACAGTGACGAACTTGTCGCTAGTTCCGGGAGAATCGTCCGGCTTCGAGCCTTTCGTCGTCGCCTTGACAATCTCGCTCGGTCGGCCCATGCCGATGCGATTGTACGCCGTCAGGTACATCTGGTAATCATTGCCGCACCAAAGTCGCGACAAGACAAAACTGCTCACTTTATGCGACACCTTGAACTCTTCCCATTCGCCCGACTCGCGTTTGTAGTGTAGAATGTAGCCACGAATCGACGAGCCGCCGTCGTCGCCGTTTTTCCATTGTACGTTAATAGAATTGCTGCTGGTGCTAGTCGCGTGCAATAATGGCGCCGCGGGTGGAACTAGAGAAGACAAATATTGGTTTAACGATCGTACTTTGCAGTGCGTTTCGGCCATTCGCGTTTTTCGTGCTTTCTTTGAAGTTTATCAAAAAGTATTTAAAAATACTTTATCTTGCAAATGTAAATGTACTTTTAAGATAATAATACTAAAAATACATACTAGATTAAAATACTGACAAATAAATAATAAAAATCAATGTATATTTTAAATTAAAATGTTTCAAACCGATTAACATTTTTTGTAAAAAATATTTGTAAAGTATTTTAGTTACGCAATTAAACAAAAAAATTACGCCAATAAAGACAAACTTTGAGTAATTATTTTACACAGGTGAAAATTGCGTTTTACCTTGCACGGTTAAACGATGAGTTATCTGATCGGAGCCGTGACGATTATCCACGAAGCAAGTGTAATTTCCGCTATCCTCCCTGTGAAGATCAATAATTTGTAAAGATCCATCAGGATGGAGGGACACTCTGGCAGATGGTTTGACGATCTGACCCCATTGCTTCCAGGTAACCGAGGGCTCAGGTTTGCCCACACTTTGGCAAGGTAGCGTCACATCTCGCTTCCACGGCACGACAAGTACGGTACCGAACGAGTATATAGCAGCGCGAACTGTAAGAAAATATCGAGCGGACCTTTACCAAGGACGCGATGCGCTTATCTAAGTTAGCTTTTATAAACTGCAGAGTAAACTCAAGAAAATATTTCCTGATGGAGAGGATTTAAAGTTTGCGGAAAGGAATTTGCACAGACTTCTTAAGAGAAAAGAGAAAAATCGAAAGCGCATCTCATTAATAAACATAAATACGGCGCTCAGTATCTTGTTATCAGCTGACTGATAGATTCATTTAAATTGAAATGCGAAAGTTATACTTCAAAGTGCCGTTAATTCGCACATCAAATAAACATCCGTTTCTTAAGCTAAATGAATTGTCTATCAGTCAGTTGATAGCAAGATACTGTTAACTATCTCAACTGACAACTAGTCCAACTTGTATAAAAAAACAATTTCAAATTCCATGACTGGAGCAAAGTTATATTCGATTTATAAGATTAAATGTTGCTATATTTTTGTAGAATTTTTGAACATTATAAGTACATTAATCTTGTCAATTATTATATAAATAAGATGCGATATAACATTCTAAGATTAATCAAGGATAATAATCTCGCAACTAATTTTACATAAATATAAAACGTTCCACTTAAACCTCTCATGCACGCGGGCCGATTTTACGTGAAATATATTTCGCAAGATAATTCTTCCGACTATCTTTTACCTTCGCTGGAAGGTGAGACCGTAATAGACGGGGTTTGCGGGCCCTCGCCGACCGAAGTGACCGCGGCTATGGTGAATTCGTACTGGCTCCTCTTGTGCAGATCTTCGGCCTGATAGCTGGTCTGATGCGGCGCTAAAGCTCTTCTATGCCACTTTCCTTCCGGCCCAAGTCCGCGAATGTGCACGTTGTAGGCGGTAATGTTGCCGTTGCTCTTCAAGGGCGGTTGCCACGAGACGATGATAGACGTGGCCGAGCTGGCGACGGCTTTGACACCGGCTGGCACTTCCGGCAGATCCTCCTCGGTTACGCAATAAAGAGGTGACGAAGCGATACCGTCGCCGCTTCTGGTTGACGCCAAGACTTGGATTGAGTAGTTTGTGTATTTCTCCAGGCTATGAATCACCACTGTCAGTGCGGTGGTAGTCTTGGTCATCTCCGGTTTGATAGACTCCGCTAACGCATCCGTATTCTCCCATATAACCTTGTAGCCTTTCAGTATCCCATTCATGCTAGACTCGGGCGGTGAGTCCCAGGAGACTTGCAAGGATGTCGACGAGAGAGCGGTGCAACGCACGTCCTGCGGAGGACTGCTCGGGACTGCAAAACGTTCAAGATGTACACTAAAATATTATTTTATACAAAATAGCTATATCGTTTGCCTTAAGCATCTTTTATTAAAATCTAACGCTGCAGTGATAGATTACATTGTATAATATTGTATAATAGTGTCATAATCCTATAATTATAGAATTATAACTATCTGTTACTAAATATAGAAAAATATAATTCTATTTCTAATTTACGTTAACACTGATTTAGAATAATAATGGTTGATGAATAAATAATAATATTAAAGTTATTAATTTAAAATGCTAAAATGGATACAATAATGTATGTATATAAATATTTATTCGTTGATTAATAGCGGAAACTGAAACATCGTTAAAGGGATATTTTACGGTCGCCATAATCTTTGAGAAATATGAATGACACAACTCGTAAAATGTATCTCATTTAAAACGTCGATGGCATATTCAAAAGCGACGTGACTGTACGCATGGAATATTTCAAGAACGGTTTCGGGTAGAAAGTTAAAGAGGTTCAGATGCCATCGCGGGATGTGTTTGCCAGCGCAATCGAAAATATCGGAGTGCACTTGGAAGTTTTGCCGAGTTTGCCATCCAGCGAGGATAGGATTAAAGAAGTTATTTGCGAGCGCGGGTGTCGCATCTGAATTTATTATTTATCGTGGAAGTCCTATGGCCGCTGCGCGCGGTTAGTATTCATAGCGGAATTCGTGATAGACTTTGCGCGAGAGGCGCGAATATTATTCTCTTCATGAATTTTTGAAGGTCCTCGTTGAGTCGCAATGCAAAAATAGACGTCTAGACGAAAGCTTTCTGAACATTCGACCTCCTGCTCGCGAATCGATCGCACTAGATGTTAATTACGTTCGCGCTGGAAATATTTATATATTTTCCTCAACGATTCGAGTCAAGCAGAATGAATGCTATCCAGATATTAAGATAGCTTTACGTTAAAAAAAATTACTTTTAATATGATTTCAATGGACAAATAGTGACTGATATTTTTGTCATTATCTGTACAAATAAAAAAAAATTAGCATTGTTTTATATCGATTGAGAAAATTGAAGGATTAATATTTTCCAGTTGTATATTTCGAGAGTTTAGTTTTATTTCTTTTTAGTAAGCATTTATCAATTTAGAAATAGATATTTGCAATTTTCACGGTCGCTTACCATCCTCGAGCGTCGATGCCACAACTTCCTGCGTCATGGGACCGGGACCGAGAGCGTTGAACGCTTGAACGACCACACTGTAACGCGTGAACTTCTTCAAGTTCGTCAAGTGATGCTGTCGTCCAGGCATGGACGTTCTTGCCAGACCCAGTGCAACACTTGCTGTCGAGATCCGTCTTTCCACGGTTTTGTATGTGTACTGCTCCAACCTGAATTTCACAATCGTGTTTGTTACACCTGATGTAATTAATTAGTTTGCACGGAAAGATGTCAAGTGTCTCCTTTTAACTTCGAACTTTAGCCAAAGTTTGGAAGACAAACTTAATGTCGTATAATAACAAAAAATGTAACACATAGATATACATATACGACAAAGTTGGATGAACAAAATAAATTAGAATAGAAAATAATTGTGTATCATAATTGTGTATGATAATAAATGAATCAAATTAGAAACTAAGGGGAAGAAAATAGAGAGTTATAAGCTACACCGTCAAGTTTGCACACATGTAGACGTAGCTATATTGGCAAAAAGCTGAAAATAAAAAAAATTGGGATTGATGCATGTGAATAGATTGTAATAAACACAGTGAGCTGAAGCAATGTAACAAAATATAGTCGAATAACATAAAAAAGAAAAAAAAACCGTGAAGTTTTTCGAGGATTTGTCAGCGTTGCCGCAGGCGGATAAATAACTGACCCCGAGATAGCTCGCCGTTTATTAATGGCGCGTGAATTCTACGGTATCAGCTCTATGGGTGAAATCCAGGAAGTTGGAGTTCTGACTGAGTAGTTGTATGTGTACTGCGTATATATGTATGTATGTGAGGAAACAAACTCCTATCTGTCGGGACTCCTATCTGTCGGGTCGTTAAAATAACGGGCACTGTTTTCGGTCGTTACCTGTGTTCCTTGTAGCCGACATGATAACCGAGTATCTCGCCGTTCCATAAATCATGATCGGGCGGATCCCAGGTGACGTTGAATTCGGTCGAGCTGATGGGGTCTACTTTGAGATTTCGCGGCGGTCCGCCCGGCTTCTCCCCCTCCGTTGTTGCCTCTAAAATCTGAAAAGCCGAAAAAGCCTTTTGAAAGCCTTTGGCGAGCTTATATTGCTTACCCTCGCTACAATATAACATTTTCTTATTAATTGCCATTAAATGTTTTAGATATTTTGCGATTTTCACTTACTGTAAATTTTAATTACGAGAAAACTCAATAAATTACAAATAGATTAAATTTGTTCGTGAAAATAACGCAAGATAAAACATTGTTCAAAAAAGAACGCAAAATAAATGCAACTTAAAAATCTAGACGTCAGCTGTCACATTAGTGTTTAGGAAAACATGCGAAAGGAAAATCGCGCGTTAGAGATTCCGCGGGGCAAAATAAATCGGCTGGATGCACCTGATATTTCACGTCAAAGCATCGCAGCCTGCTTCCTTGAACGCGTGGGCGAATTCTTTGCTGCGAAAAAAAAAGCGCAAGAGGGTCGATATGCTCGAAAGGGCACCAGCAGCGCAATTTAAATCCAGGCCAACGATACGGCCGCACATCCGTCGAGAGAGACGACGGAGAGAGGAATTCGTTTCGAGGTGAGATAGCTTTTTTTTTTACGCGCGCGGGAACATCGATCGAGCTCGGTGCCCGACACACACCGGTGTCCCAATTGTTTTAATTCTCGAGGGCGAGAACGAGCGAGAAAGAAAGAGAGCCGATCGGATTGGCGAGAGAGGGTGTCGGCGACAAAGCGAGCGTCGACGAGGTATGAATTTGACTTGTAAATGTCCGGCTTGGTCCGATACCTACGTCACTCGCTTGACTCCGACCCAGTTCGTTGTCCGCGTACATCCGAAACTGGTAAGTGACCGCGGGACGTAAGCCGCTCACGTGGCCGTGAGCACGTGTGCCCGGCACCGTCGTATGGAACGTGTGGTCATGCCATACTTCTAAAAAATTGAAATTATTTCACTCAGGATTTTTAATCCTAGAATTTCAAGTCTAAGCTTGAAGTTTTTTCTAAATTTTTACTCAGCAAAAATTGCAGTTTATATAATATTCTAACTTATTATTAATTCCAGAAATGTAAAGTAAGAAGTTTTTAATTGTAAAATACGTAATTAATATATTAAATTTATATCTTTTCAATTGTTTAAGACACACATTTTTAAGTATTGTACATTATATTTCCAACCAAACCATAAACCAAACAATTCCATTAATTTCCTCAATCAAATATAATTACACTCACCCGATTCGGTTTTGTATTCAATTATATATTGGGTAATCGGACTGTTTCCATCCTGACTGGTTGTCCAGCCTAGATTGATGTGACGACTACCTTTTTCGATCACGTGAAGATTCCGTGGAAAATCTGGAGGTTCTATATTTAATATTAATATCATTTTGTAAATTTTTAATACTAAAAGTTAAAAATTTCTTACATTTAAAAAATGTTTCTTAAAGTTTACAAATCTTACACTATCAATATACATCATTCCTTATCATATACAAATATTATTTGAGAATGTATTTTTTAATTATTAACTTTATATTAATAAAAGCTTGATATATTCTCAGCATAATTTAATTTGTAATTTTAAATCACGTTAATTAAATTCCATTTCGACTGTGCCCTCTATTAAAACGTTTCGCTGCGTGAAATTAGAGTTCGGTAATTAGTTGGAAATTTTCGCCTAATTCCGGAGCAGCGTCAGCGCGCATCGCATCCAATGGAATAATTTTCAGTTATGGTACGATTGTCGCGTCCCGCATTATGCATATTTCACGGGTTATCCGGCGCAATACGTTCGCTTGAAGCGTATCTCATTTTGGAGAACACGTAGAGCGCGAGCCACTGGCTCATCTGTCTCGCGGTGCGCGTACTTGCGCGGACGTACATTAAATTAAATGGACGTGCGTTGTCGAGTGCCTGTATACATTACGATAATTACATTCAGCAGAATAGCGTTACGCACAAACATCCGACTGACCGACGCCCCGAAGGCATCATCGTGATAACTCGCTTTGTAATAATTTCATGTGCTTCATTAATAATCTTCTACCTCCAAAAGAGAAACAATTATTATCAATGCATATATCATTATCATTGTTAATTTGCGGCATTTTTCATTAAGGCCCATTTAAATTATATTATACGGATTGTCCAAAATGGATTTAACGCTGTTAAAATTATTAGATTTTTTCCCCGTATCAATTATTTCTTTTGGGATTTAGTTTTCATACTTGTTACGTTTCTGTAATGTGATGCAAATAATTGCTAGATTGTTTCAAAATCTAAGCAAACTTATCATTTATATTTATACCTTGAATATAAAGATGAATTGTCATCTCATCGCGACCGTAAGCGTTGGATGCGATACAAAAGTATCTTCCACTGTCTTCACGGCTGGTACTAAGAAAACCAAGAACGCTGACGACGCCATCAGTGGTGTTGTCCTCCTTAAGAGTGTAACGATAATCGGGAAGTTTTGGATCTAACTGGGAGCTGGCTTTCTTCCAAACTATCTTCAAGGGATGGTCGCCTTTCGCCTCGCAGCGTAGCGAGGCGTTCGAGCCTAGCCTCGCGGTCTGATTGCGATGTTTCTCCACGAAATGCGCGGGAACTGTTTCAAAAACAGTACGTACACTCAAAAAAATATTTCGCTGATGTAGTTAGATTTCTAGATATCGCAATAAGAATGTATCGCTATTTTTCGTATCTGTGAAAACATTGTTTGTCACATATAGAATTTATAGCAGTAATGTTCTAGCAATACCTTCTGAAAAATTTAGGTACCATTGCTAAATGTTATTCATTGCATGATCTAACACGTGATTGATCTTATATAGATAGGCGCTTTAGAGTAAACTTTTCTTTTTAAAGTTCACAAACAATACATTATATATTCTGTTTCTGTCATCTAAACTGATTAAGTAATTACATATGCAATATCACAACAGTTGCTAATCATTTA